TAAAACACCATCATTATCAGAAGCATCACCAATCATCAATGGTTGCATCATTTAGCCTCGTCAGCTACCACAACAACAGCAGCAGCATTATTATTATTAGGAAAGCAGAATCGACATCATCACCACCATCATCAGCAATTTATTAAAAGCACACTTTGTCATCATCAGCAGCAGCATCCGCGGCAGCAACAACAAAATCATCATCATCATCAACAGCAGCAGGAGTTTTGGCTTAAACCTGCTACAGCCCTGGCGATGGCAAAGTTCCAATCGTGGTTGCCCGGAGGGGCGGGAAACAGTGAACCACGTCACAGCACAGCGACGGAGGGGTCGTTCACGTGCAGTTGAATGGCTTAAAAACAACAACCACCACGAACCACCACCGCCACCGGGCAGCACATGCTCACACAAGGGACCCCATGACACATGGCCACCAGCCAAACGGTTGACCCAACTATGTGCTCGCAAGGTCGCAACGAGAGTCGCACGGACGAATCATGGGGAAAACGATATCTCACGATATCTGAAGAGGCGAGAAGTACGTGTAAATAAATGCGTTGGTATATTATTTCGCAAATGACAGTAACCCGTCACTCTCAGGGCCGTATTCTTAGTCACGGCTCGGCTCTTGGCTACATGCCTCTAACACGGCTCAGGCTCAAACTCCGAGCCGCTCAATTGCTTCCAAAGATACACGAGAGTAGGGGTCAGAGCCGCATGCGGCCCTCTTTCTGGACTGCTCCCGTGACGCCACATATACGTATGTATTCGCATGGCACTGCGGCTCTTGATATATTGAGGGGTTTTTTTTGTTAACCGAATTCGAATTTTTTTTTATCTTCTTGTTAATTTGGTAGCCGACCCCTGCACGTGGCAGGAGTTGGTTGCTCAGTCATGGCTTGGCTCAGACTCGGCTCATGGTTGGGATCATGCTCAAGAGACGGCACAAGTTGAACATGCGCTTTGAGCCGGCTGACTTGAGCCTGAGCCGAGCCCAATCGGGCCGTGGCCAAGAAAAAGAGGCCTTAATGGCCCAGGAAGACTTGCAAGATTTCCTTAGACATCTACCTTAAATTGAGGACGATCCTGGAAAAACCAAGACAAACACCTCCGATTGGCACGGTTGGCTACGCACGGTGCGAAAGGAGTTCAGCATTCATGCATACCGAGTGGCAACCCTCGTTATAACACAGCCACACACACGTGCAAAACTTCCCTGGTGTCACATTCACTTGTACTAACAAATCGGACATATGTGCCGTCACTGTTGGCTGTGGAAAGCGATAGCCGGACAAACACACGAGCATAAATGTCTAAACAAACCCGATGACGCCACCGACGCACAAATACAGCGTGCGTGTGTGTGTGCGTTACATCTGACCATGTGTTGGGTGCACGCGCAAGGCGTGAAATGTGGACATAAGCACAGACGCGATACACACAGCATGCCACATTATTCAACGCAAGGACGCTTCCAGCATACACACACACATGGCGCACAAAGACAAAGCCTTTACAGACTGTTGGGGCAAGTGCTGTTAGCGAGCACCTATGAAGGCCGGCACGGCTTACACGAGGCGGTGGGTGGGCAACACCACGCCCGACCGCCTTTGTCTCCCCGGTGGCGATGTTTTTTTACACACCGCACCAGGTACTCATTTGAGGCTGAGTCGACCTAGGGGAGGCCCAGGACCGGTTCAGATAGTCGTCACTGGTGTTGGTGCCTGTGAGCGATCGGACTCGGGTAGCCGTATTCATAGCGCAGCGTGCTACCCGCTACACTACCGCTCCCCACACACAGCGCGCGAACACTCACAGGACATTCATTTACAAGGGGCATCATGGCCAAGCCGGTAGCGCGTTCACCACTTGGTTTTCAGAGGTTTCACGGTTCGAACCCCAGTGGCCGCCCTGATGATTAATGCGGGTCTAATAACCCCAGTTTAACACGTAGGCTTTTGCGATCAATATTATCCATAATACAGGTTTTTTTTTTGGGTTAGATCGCGTAAATATATAAATGTGTTGTTAAACCCGCCACCACCCGACACGGCCAATTAGTAAGGTTTGTCACGTAAACAGAACGTGCCAATTCGTTACTAGTACAGCACACCGGTGTGTTGGAGAGTAAATCCAAAACATTTACAATTTACCATTTGTAAATGTTGTGTTCTGGCTGTCGCCTGATGATGCCAGTTGTAATTACTGGCGAAACGTCGTACTCAAATTGATTTACTGGTGTGCTGGACTAGTAATGAATTGTAGTCTTCTGTTTACGTGACAACCCCTTACTAATTGGCTGTGTCGGGTGGTGGCGGGTTTAACGACACATTTATATATTTACGCGATCTAACACCCCGCCAAAAAACCTCTAATAACCACAATGTGCCCATCTGCTTTCATTAAAGCCACGCAATAACGCACTGATACGGGACACATCCAATACGCACGACTCTACTACTACATGATACATCAGACCAGGCACCTACTCAGACAAGATACAGCTGTACGGTACAAAAACACATACACACACACTAACAGAATATACTCTCTCAAGGTACATACACTTATATACCAAGCACACACATGACACACACCAATACATGACGCAGGCTAATACTGTACAAACCACACACACACACAACCCACATATGGCGACACTCCATTCACATGACACACACTCATCGTGTACAAATCACACACGACGCACACCAATAACAACCCACACACAAGGCACACACATGACGCACACCAATAACAACCCACACACAAGGCACACACATGACGCACACCGGTGACACATGACACACACACACAGTCTCACAACTTCACGCATTCGTCCGTGGCTAACAATGCGGAACCGAATGCCACCGCGACTAGTGAGCGAACAGCGTCCCAGAGGCTCGCTCCTCTAGTTACAAACAACAGCAGCAGCAATAGCCCCGAGTGCCTGGGCAGCGAGACAACCAAGGGCAGCATCAACAGAAGCAGCTGAAACCCCAGGGGGGCAGCGACACCCACGCCTGAACACAGAGGGCAGCTAGACTCATGCCTAAACAGAGGGGCAGCTTCACCTATACCTGAACACAGAGGGCAGCTAGACTCATGCCTGAACACAGAGGGCAGCTTCACCTATGCCTGAACACAGAGAAGAAGCTACACCCATGCTTGAACACAGAGGGCAGCTACACCTATACCTGAACACAGAGGGCAGCTTCACCTATACCTGAACACAGAGGGCAGCTTCACCTATACCTGAACACAGAGGGCAGCTAGACTCATGCCTGAACAGAGGGACAGCTTCACCTATGCCTGAACACAGAGGGCAGCGACACCCATGCCTTAACACAGAGGGGCAGCTGGACAACACATGGCGGGGGCAGCTACACAACAGCAGAGACGTCCACTTTACTCAGAGGGCAGCTAATAACACAGAGGGCAGCTAATAACACAGAGGGCAGCTAATAACACAGAGGGCAGCTAATAACACAGAGGGCAGCTAATAACACAGAGGGCAGCTAATAACACAGTGGGCAGCTAATAACACAGAGGGCAGCTAATAACACAGAGGGCAGCTAATAACACAGAGGGCAGCTAATAACACAGAGGGCAGCTAATAACACAGAGGGCAGCTAATAACACAGAGGGCAGCTAATAACACAGAGGGCAGCTAATAACACAGTGGGCAGCTAATAACACAGAGGGCAGCTAATAACACATAGGGCAGCTAATAACACAGAGGGCAGCTAATAACACAGTGGGCAGCTAATAACACAGAGGGCAGCTAATAACACAGAGGGCAGCTAATAACACAGAGGGCAGCTAATAACACAGAGGGCAGCTAATAACACAGAGGGCAGCTAATAACACAGAGGGCAGCTAATAACACAGAGGGCAGCTAATAACACAGAGGGCAGCTAATAACACAGAGGGCAGCTAATAACACAGAGGGCAGCTAATAACACAGAGGGCAGCTAATAACACAGAGGGCAGCTAATAACACAGTGGGCAGCTAATAACACAGAGGGCAGCTAATAACACATAGGGCAGCTAATAACACAGAGGGCAGCTAATAACACAGTGGGCAGCTAATAACACAGAGGGCAGCTAATAACACAGAGGGCAGCTAATAACACAGAGGGCAGCTAATAACACAGAGGGCAGCTAATAACACAGAGGGCAGCTAATAACACAGAGGGCAGCTAATAACACAGTGGGCAGCTAATAACACAGAGGGCAGCTAATAACACATAGGGCAGCTAATAACACAGTGGGCAGCTAATAACACAGAGGGCAGCTAATAACACAGAGGGCAGCTAATAACACAGTGGGCAGCTAATAACACAGAGGGCAGCTAATAACACAGAGGGCAGCTAATAACACAGAGGGCAGCTAATAACACAGAGGGCAGCTCTAGAATCACCGCGGGGTAGCACACGGACACGACTAACCCAGAAACGCGTGAGCAACCAGACGAGTGGAGAGGCGTCCGCTCTGTGTAGAGGGCAGCTAAAGGAACACGGGGGGCAGCTAAAGGAACACGGGGGGCAGCTAAAGGAACACGGGGGGGGCAGCTAAAGGAACACGGGGGGCAGCGCCCCTCCCTCCAAACCAGCCCTGTACGTCAAGGGGCAGCGAACGAAACTCGGAGGGAAAGTTCGGGAACGGCGAGGCAGTTGCTAGAACACGGAGGTCGAGGTCCCAACATCGACATCGCGGGCTTAACTCTTTAAAAAGAAACCCCGACACAGCAGCCCCCTCAAGGCAGGGGGTGGTGGCAGCCACACACAGCTCCCCCGTCCCCACCCCACAAACACCGTACACAGTGGGCAGCTGTGGACAAGAACCCCGCCGGCCCCATCGCAGCAGCGGCGTCCGCAACGGCGCTCGCCATCACCAACTCCCAACACCACCAACCACCACCACCAACAACAATCTCTCTCTCTCTCTCCCTGCCTCCCTCTCTCCTCCTCCTGCTGCTGCTGCTGTACACTCCTCACCGGTCCGGGCCCTTGACCTCCCTGGGGACGGGGTGTCGCTGCGGGAGCGGCCCCTGTGGCCCTCGAGCCGCGGAGACGAGGCCGAAGCGTCCGCTCCCCGCGCCGCCATAGAGGCCGCGCTTTTCCGCCTCCGCCCCCTCCCTCCACCTCGCCCCCACCGCCTCGCCCCCTCCCTCCGCTTCCCTCCCCCTCCTCCCCCTCCACCTCGCCCCCTGCCTCCCTCTGCCTCCGCCCCCTCCCCTCCGCCTCGCCCCCACCGCCTCCTCCCCCTCCCACCGCCTCCCACCGCCTCATCCCCCTCCCTCCCCTCCGCCTCCCGCCGCCTCCACCCCCTCCCCTCCGCCTCGCCCCATCCCTCCGCCTCCTCCTGCCGCTGCTCCCGGGCTCCGCCCTCGTCGTGCCCTCCCTCGCGGGCGTGGACACACGCGCCGGGGTCCCACGCGGTCCCGACGGATTCCCGACGGGGTCTCACGGGGTTCCAAGGGGGTCTCACGGGGTTCCAATGGGGGTCCACAGGGGTCTCACGGGGTTCATCAGCTCCGCCCCGTCCTGCCTCACTCGCGTGAGTGACACACGGGGTGGACTCGGGATCCTACACGGGTCTCAACTGGGTTCTAATGGGGATCCCCAATGGCGTCTCACGGGGTTCCACGGGGGTCTTACAGGGTTCCCCAATGGGGGTCCACAGGGGCTCACGGGGTTCATCAGCTCCGCCCTCGTCGTGCCCTCCCTCCCTCGCGGGCGCGGCACTCACACGGGGTCGGCCCGGGGTCTTCTTAGACGGTTCCTGCGGGGGTTCTGATGCCTCCCAACGGGGATCCCAACGGGGTCCCAGCAGGGTTTGACAGGGTTACAAGGGGTCTCTGGTGAGAGCCCATTGATCGATCGTGCGTGGAGTGGTCTCGCCGGGCGTGACACACGGGAACTGTCCGGAGTACCTCGAATATTTTAGCGGAGTTCAAGGGGGGTCAATATTTTAGCGGGGTTCAAGGGGGGTCAATATTTTAGCGGGGTTCAAGGGGGGTCAATATTTTAGCGGGGTTCAAGGGGGGTCAATATTTTAGCGGGGTTCAAGGGGGGTCAATATTTTAGCGGGGTTCAAGGGGGGTCAATATTTTAGCGGGGTTCAAGGGGGGTCATAGCAAAGGAGGTCCTTGCTTCTCGGGGTCTCAATATTTTTTTTCTTTCACGAGTCGTGTTTGCAGGACCTGTCGAGATTTATAGAAGCAGCAGCGTTAACATCACGGTTGCTATCATCATCATCATTCATTATTCGTGTGGACACCTCGATGTAACTCGAGTGGTCCACCCCTCCGCATGAATGTTGCCCTACATCAGGGGTGAGTTGCTGCTTAAAGCACGCGAACACACGAGGGTTCCTGCCACTTTAAAGCGGGACCCAAACGATGTAATGTGTACGCGATGCATACCTGTCAAACCGTACGGTTTACCCCCATTCCTGTGCAGGGAACTTGAGTAAAAAACTATGTTTTGTCTATTTCCTTGTGTTTCTCCCTTGTGATGGGACTTTGTAGGATGAACGTTGAGATTTATAAGGGCGACCAATAAGATCTGAATTGGTCTGTAATAAGGTAGGGTACTGATAATGGGTTGACAGGTATGGCAATGCTGTACGCCACGACACGTGAGTCGTTCTCTATTCGAGCGCGGCGCGTTTCAAAGTTGCAATTATTAATTGCTGCCAAACCAAACGAGCGCTGCAACATGAATCATGAATCATGAAAGAAACCCCTGAATCACCATAAAGGTGATGCCATGGGGTAACCCTGCAGCGCAACCGGCTAAATCACACGCTACGTCGGATGTGTAATCAAAGCGTAGCTGATAAATGTTAGGTTATGCAAGTATAATTCCTCATTGGCGGTCCTTTTCAATTACTGTGTGCAGGATGTGGTGCTGTATGGCAGTGGTATGACGGTACTACATGGTAGAATCAATCCCTCCCAATCATAGAGATAAAGTCACCCAGTAAACGTATGCAACGTTGGGCCAATGGTAATGGCACGTTGCTCGAACCGTTGGGCCAAAGTACGCCCAACGGTCCACGTTTACTGGGCACCGCATTTCTGGTCGAGTAAAAATGAAACACATTACCGCATTGGCAGTGGTGCACAAACACAAAGAGCAAACTCAAAACGGGTGTGTTATTGGCAAGAGCGCTCCACATAAAATACGGGACCCCGCTCAACAGTTACCATTACCATGGTAAAGTTCATGCGATGGCAAAACAACAAACAGATTCCAGGAAGTCATCCATGGGAACATGAAACAATACACATTTCCACGGTCCAACTCACACATCACAAATTGTTCCACGTACAATGAAATGTTAGTGAACTTTAATAGGAATTTCCCCTGGATAAAAAGGTAACGTTTCGGGCAATGGTCCATCTTCACGTGTTTGCCCAAAACGTCACCTATTATATATTTTACATTTTAAGACAGTGTTATTAAGGAATTTGTTTAGGGTTTTTTTGCCACTTGAAATCAGGCAATAAGAGTCGGTAGATATATTTGTCTACTTTGAAAACCCATCTCTTTAAAGTGGCCTTCCCTCTTTAGTTTGATCGGTTGCCCTGGTTGCATTGGGGAGTCCTAGGATGGAATGCGCATTTTCCATTTTAATTATTATATTTCTGGTAGCTGAGCTGACAGCACCAGTCTCTGCCTGCCTCGTTCACTTTGCATTGGCCACGCCCCACCACGCCCACTACTCAGCTAGCCTCGCCCTCAACCTATATCTAGGGTCCTACATGGAACCATCTAAATATCTAAATAAGCTCAAACCCCCCATAAATCACGCGACTTCAATGTGGCCAAGCCCACTCTGAATCGCTCCCCTCTCCCCGCCCGCTGTGAAAACAGACGCCCCTCCATGCAGCAGCGACGAGGCCCAATGCAGCCTCTTCCTCCCTATCCTCATCACTCCTGACTCTTGGCTTCCATTTTTCCGTTCCTTTTCCTCTTATTTCCCGATCGTTCCATTCTTTAGTCCCTTTCTGTTTCCCATACATTGTATCCTTGGCTGTACTTCCCTTCCCGTGGTGAGGCCACGGGTACAATGTGGTGTGTTCCTCTTTCTGTCTCTCGATACAATTCCAAGCACGCGCATCTTCATGCTTATTTTGCACACCCCTTACATCACCATACATGCATCACAACACTGCAGTGATACTCAATCATGAGACCTGATTTTCCAGTTTAAAAAAAAGTTTAAATCCCCCAAAACTGGTTCTGCAATAGGTGAGCTGAATGGGGCAGTGATTATGCAATAGCAGCTCGCTGTGGCTATAACAAAGGTCAGCGTTTCTATGACAGCTCTATTAATACTTTCGCGTGATATGACAGCCCCCTTTTTACATTGTTGACCCGCCAATACTGGGCATCTGTAAAAAAGAGCTTCATAGCTAATCGGATTCCTCCAGTCTAAATAAAGATAGTGATACATATTCTGACATGCGAGAATACGCATCGGTTAAAGTCAACCGATGCATTTGCTCGAGATGTTTGCTTACAAAGTTCAAACTATAAGCTTTTTTTATTTTACCAAGGTAAGGCCCACTGAGCTATACAGCTCTTTTTCAGAAGCGACCTGGCCACAAACGTTAGCTCGACGAACTGGTTTATCATCACGTGGGAATGTACAGCAACCAAGAATCCTCTAAACGGGTGTTGATTCTAAATGTGGAGGGGAAGACCGGAAAACCCGGAGGACAAATCCGTGCGACCGCGGGGAGAGAAAGAGAGATGCAAACTCGAAATATACAGCAGGCGTCAGGGTCGAGATCGAACCAACGACCTCCTGTATACCAGGCGAAGTAGTTAACATCTCACCACGGAGAGAGAGACACGCAAACTCCAAATATACAGCAGGCGTCAGGGTCGAGATCGAACCCACGACCTCCTGTATACCTTGCGAAGCAGTTAACATCTCACCACGGAGAGAGAGACACGCAAACTCCAAATGTACAGCAGCAGGCGTCAGGGTTGGAATCGAACTCACGACCTCCTGTATACCTGGCGAAGTAGTTAACATCTCACCACGGAGAGAGAGACACGCAAACTCCAAATATACAACAGCAGCCGTCAGGGTTGGAATCGAACCCACGACCTCCTGTATACCTAGCGAGGTCGTTAACATCTCCTAGCCACCCTTAGAACAGCCACCACGAGGCTGCACAGTGCAGACGTTGTGTTGCCCTCTCCAGGGATTCGTGTTTGCTCCAAGTACGACTGCAGTGCAGTGTGCATCTGCAATCGGATGCAGCTGGGAGCCGTCCATACATGACGTCACGCGATTTTGGACGATTTTTGACCCCCCCCCCTTCGTCACACGGCGTCACAAAAAGTCAGACCCCCCCCTCAAATATGACGTCACAAAGCTCTGCCCCCCCAAAAAAATATAAAACGTGCTTCAAATCGCTTTAAACTATTGTCATTGTAGTGCGTATTTAATGTGGCGCTGCACTCTGATGTTGTAGGAGAAAACATTGATTAAAAAGTCTATTTAATAAAGTAGAACGTGTTTATATTTATTTAAAGTTGCGCATTTTGATGTGACGTCACATTTCTCACCACCCCCCTTCGTCACACATCGTCACAAATGTCTGACCCCCCCCCCCCTGGTGCGTGACGTCATTCATGGACGGCCCCCTGTACCTAAGATGGAATAATGTGCAGAAGATATATTAAAGTGCAGCTACACTGATGCTGCTTTAAGTGCAGCTGAACCAACGTTTGTAATCAACTGCAACTGCACGCTCATGTTGCGATAATGTGTTTGCTACGTTATGTCCAGCTGTTGAATTCATAATATGCTGTAGAAAATATCTTAATACTGTATCACCTTGTATTCCGTATTATAGGACGCACGTATAATGAAACGTGACGTTGTGCATAATGACCGTTCTTCATCGCCCCCCCCCCCTTCTTCATTGATGTCCTATAAAAAAGGGTAATTGCCAGAAACTTCGTCTATTTTATATATTTTTTGTCCTTTGAAGGCCACAGTCTTGTTCATAGTTCCATTTATTTGGTATAGCCCTGTGAGCCATTCGGCTCTTGAATCGGGTGCAACCGCAACAAACAAAAAACAAAAACATGAACAAGAAAACATCTTAA